ATTAGGGTTTGAGTAGAATATATAGAATAATCAAGTGTGATCTTTTTTTGTTTCCAATATTACCCTGAAGCAATTTTAACCGTGAGATTAAAAAAAAGAAAAAATAAAAAAATAGACGGAGAATATTGAAGTAGCCACGGTTAGGAGTGTACATGGGTCGGGTGGTCCGGGTTTAGACATTTTAATCACCCGACCCATGCACTACGGTTTGAGAAATATTAAACCCAAACCCACCCAAAAAAATTTAAACCCTACGGTTTGTTTCTAATTGGGTTGGGTCGGGTTGGCGATATTTTTAAGTAAAAACCCAACCCAACACAAAATATGTAATTATTCTACACCATAAAAATATTTTATAACAAATTAAAAATTCAAACGAATAAACCGAGGTAAAAGGTATCAAAATTCACAAATATTGTTTGAATTTTAATAAAATTTTATTTACTTCAACTTATGTCTAGTTTTTTTTCACGACATTTGTTGAAATAGGCTAAAAAGGTTACAAATGAACGCATCCATAATATGTTATTCTATTAAAATTGTACACAAGAAAAAGAATTACGTGAATCATAGGTATATTAAACATGGCAAAATATGGCAAAATATCTTAATTTTCTCATAAGTATGACTATATATGACATAAATATTTTTTTGGATACGAACTCATACCAATAATTGGAACACGGGTTGGGTCGGGTTCTACGGGTTGTGTAATCCAAAATCCAAACCCAACCCAATAGAGGCGGGTTGTACAAAAGAAAACCCTCACCCAACCCAAAACCTTCGTTTTAGCGATAAATACGGGTGGATTGGGTCAGGTTGGACGGGTAGGTCGGTTTGCAGGTGTGTTTGTTCACCCCTAGCCACGGTGGCTACTAGAATTCTAATTGCCATCCTAACCCATCCCCCACCCTAACCCATCCCATCATACAAGCCGCCTATATACATTGCTATGTGAATCAACTTTTTTTTATTGCTTATTCATAACTAATTCGTTTGGTTGTTAACGACATTTTATTAAAATTAGAATAAACCGGTTACCATTGATCTTACAATAACACTTCCTTCCTCTCTTATTTTTTTACAATTAAAAAAGTTAGCCGATAAACTGACAACTAGGTTAAAAAAGTTGGCCAATAAAGCGGAAAGCCAGCAGATAATAAAGGGAGATAAAAACTAAAAAGGAAAAGATTGGACTATTCTAGAACAATTACCGTAGTGTTGTATTTTGGTGCTCGGAGTTCTCTTACTTGCTCCCCAAGCAAACCCAACCCACCGTACTCTATAAATTGAATGCCCCCAAATCACCGTGAACTCTCATCCCCTGCCTGCTCCTAGGGTTTCTTGGGGGTCCGGCTTTTCTTCCAATCTGTCCCTCCGTCTCTGTTTTCCCCGAGCTAGCGGCCGCCGCCATGTCGAGAATCGGGAACAACATCTTCTCGTTACTGGAGGGTGTAGAATGCGACCCTACCAAGGTCATTGAGAACGCTAATCTCGTCCACAAAGCTTCCCCTGCTCCTGCGCCTTCCAAGAAAGAAAAAATTGCCCAAAAAGCAGTCTCCAAGAACGAAGCCGCTCTTGATCTTCAGCAGCGTAAGCCCTCTTTCCTGATTCCCAGTTAACAAAATTTCTCATGGATCTCGATGATTTTTGTTTGACCCTTTGTTGAAGCCTGAAGGGTACTATAATTTGTTGATTGTTTTTTCTGGGTAATGATTCTTTTGCCTCTTTGGAATCCAGACCTATTATATCCAAGTCAGAACCGACTCAGAAACCTCAGAAGGGAACGTCAGGGTAATAGCAATGGATATGTTAGCAATGGGCGCCGACAAGAAAGTAGCAGAGGGTCTCAAGAGAAGGATGGGGAGCTGAACAACAACCACAACATTAATGGTGGGAGGTATTATGAGCATAGGAATGGGTATCAGGGTGGTTCTCGAGTTGGTTATAGTTACAATAACCAATACAGGAAGAACAACAACTACAAAAATGGAAGAGGGTACAACAATTCTGGACAGGAGGAAGATTGCAGGAACCAGCTGCCCGAAGTCGTGGATCAGGGTTCTGCTTCAAATGTTCGGGATGATAGTTGGCAGGAGGTAGGTTCCAGGCGCAATGTTCATAAACAAGCCCGAGTTTACAATTCCGGTTATCGCAGGCGCCGATACCACAATGGCTGGCAGAATCGAGAGAATCACAGCAACAAGAATGACTCTGAAAGCACGGAGAGGAACGATACCAATGGTGTCGATGGAAGCGAGGAGGCTCCTGCGATTAGTGCTGCTGCTGATATCGACGCGGGTGATCTCCATGGAAGCGAGAAAGCTCCACTGATTGATGCTGCTGCTGCTGATGATATTGTGGATGCTAAGTCTGAGATTGGCAGTGCTACTGTAGACAGCACGAGCGAAGTTACTCAAGGGTAAGATTTGAAATTGTCCAATTAACGACCCAAAATAATTCCAATTCGGTTAAGTGGTTGATTTGTCTTGGTTTCTCTAACGAATGGTCTGTGTGTTGAACAGAGATGGTGGTGCCAATGCTACTGGGTCGGAGGAGTCTGCTGAGAAGAAGTCCGAAGGGGAGGAGAATAAAAACAAGAACAAGAAGAAGAAAAGAAACAACAAGAACAAGAAGAACAACAATGGAGATCAGTTTGACAAGGAGAAGGAAGCACAGTCTAGAGTGGATGACAGGGTAAGATCAATCCCTTTGTGGTTGGGAATTTGATTTTTCTAAGATCAGTTTGTTTCCCATGATTTGGGCGAATATCAATTGACTTGATCTGTCTTCAATCAAATTGAATTGCAGAAACTGATGACTCTGAAAGAGTATGAGAAGCTTCAGTTGCAAAAGAAGGAAGCTTTGGAGGCTCTGAAAAGCGGCGAGGCAAGGCAAGTGAGGGTGGACAAGGATTTGGAATCGATGCAACTCGTGGAGAAGAAGAGGAAGGAGGAAAGTGATGCATCGAAGAAGAAAGAAGAGGCAGAGAAGAAGAAGGCCAGCAGACCCGTCATTAAGGTAGTTATTGTAACAGCTTAAATGGATTGTTATTAGTGCCCGGTGGCTATGGCATTTTACTGAAACGGAGTAGTTGGTATTTTGGTTGTTAAAAATCGTTTAAACCTTGCGTTTTCAGAAGAAGGGCATCGACGAGTTTGTCAAGCCGAAGACGTTGGCCGCTGGACGTCCCAACGGCGGCGGGAACTATCAACTCCAGGACCGGCGGAATTATGGCGACGGTGAGAGGTTTAACAACCAATCCTGGGCTGGACGTGGTCGTGGGAATTATCAGCATCAGCAGCAGCGGGCCAACTATGGGGATGAGAAGGTTTTCAATGGCCGCAGGGGAAGCGGGAGTGTGAGAGGCAGGGGAAACGGCGGCGTTAAATACAACAATAGTTCTTCATCCGCCGGTAGTGATGGCGCCGCCGCGGCGACGGCAGGGGACGTTTCTGCTGCTGGCGGCGGCGCTAAGGGTGGCCCTGAATTCGCTATTGACCCGAAACAATTTCCTGAGCTTCTCAGAGAAAAGTGATTTTTGTAGACTCAGTAGTCCGGATATCAAGTTTTAATTAGAGAGTTAAAAAGAGTGTTTTGTTTGCTAGCTATATTTCTACCGCTACTTAATTGATCTTACCTTCTATTTTACGACTGTTTATCAACTCCGAGTTTTCTGATAATTCCTTGGACAACCTTGATTATTAGGCTATTGAATGTTGAGAACCGTAACATTAATTGTGTTTTACAAAATTATATTTACTTTGATATATTTTGGAAGTTGGAACAAATAAAATTGAGACATTTATCACTAGTATATACTATGGTGGTAATGCTTTGTATTTCACAAGATCATACCACGTGATATGAAAATCAGTCTACCATGATTGCATGAATATAGCAGAGTGTAGAATGGTTGAATACATGATAGTTAGAAAATACGAACTGTCATTTTACCACATTCATCATTGTTTACCGTCAGTTACCACCCCCAGTATCTGAGTGGAAATGAGTGGTATATTTTGGGTCCTATCTTTTATTAGAAATTTATAAATCTAATAGATCACGACGAATCCGTTCCTTCACTGTAAAAAATTTCAAATCCGAGTTAAAAAACAAATGTGGTACCTGGCGGTAACAAGGTAAATCACAACAACCCCTCGATCGTTTCATCTGTGTATAAAATTTTAAAATCCAAATTAGAACGAAAAACATAAATACCGTTTTAAGTAAATAAATAAATCATTAATTTTCACCATTTATATTTGAACTCGTTTAACCCTACTCAAAACTAGGGGTGGCAGTTCGGTTATTTCGGTTATAACCGGTAACCGATTGATCAGTTATCGGTTAACCGAAATAACCACCCCTCATACCGAAAACAGACCGAAATAGACTTTGGTTTCCCGGTTATCTCGGTTATCGGTTAACCGAACCATTTTTAAGACCAAAAACCATTGTGTCTAGCTTTGGATAACCGAACAGCCACCCCCACTCAAAACTAAGAGTTCACGGTTAAACCGATAACCGATAACCGAACGGCCACCCCTACTCAAAACTAAGAGTTCAAATCTTGTTATGTAAGGTATATCCTAAACCATTCTGCCTAAACCTAGGTAGCGCTAGTAACGCGCCTCACCCTTCCTCACCTTTCAAGAGACAACGCCAAGTCCAACTACAACAACGGCCCTCCTCTCCCCCCATAAGCTGCTGCCACGTGCCCCTAAAACCACAGTTTACACCACGCAGTTCGCCTCAATGACCCACGTGTCAGACACGTGGCAGCCACCAGGACCCCACCTCCGAATAAACCCTCTCCACTGGGATATAATCTTAGGATATCCACCCCCGAAAATCAAATTTATTGTCATTTTCTATATTATCATATTATTTTCTCCCCAGCGCTTCCGCGAATATTCCCTCAGAAATTCCTCAATCCAATCCATTACCTCCGACGATGAACCTCTCTTTATATAAGAAACAAAATGCTTCCCCTGAGCCCTCAACCCTCGTTCATTCTGCAAAGAGAGCTTGAAATCTGAAATCCAAAGTGAAAGCTGATCATTTTTTGCTTGAAAATGGTGAGCGGCACTTTCGGCCGGGCCAAGCGAGTCACCGACCCGCTCGACGACAGGGCCAGAGCTCGACTCATCTCCGGCCACGACCAACTCAGCTACGCCAGCAGCGGCAGCGAGCATTCCGCCGCCGACGTCGACCTCGACGAGGGCGATTCCCCTTGCCTCTCCCATCTCGTCCAAGGTTTCCTCGAGGAGGCGGAGAACGACTCTCAATCACACGCCGGTCACGATTCCGACTCCGAACCGACCGACCCGCTCCCGGACTTCCCTGATTCTCTCGCTGACATCGCCTTCGCCGCCGACCCCGGCCGGAACCTACTGTCGGCGCAGGTGAGCAAGGCCGCGCTGGCCTTCTCCCACCTCCGGAACCAGAAACCCGCGCTCCGGCGCAAAGTGATGTCGTTTCTCAGGGAGTCGGGCCACAATGCCGGGATCTGCAAGACCAGGTGGGACTCCTCCGGCGGCCTTACTGGCGGGACGTACGAATTCATCGACGTCTTCCTCTCTCCGGCGGCTGCAGCGGCGTGGCCGAAGCGGTACGTTGTAGATCTGGATTTCGCGTCGCAGTTCGAGATTGCGAGGCCGACCGCGCAGTACCAGAGGGTGCTGGACTCCCTGCCGAGAGTATTCGTCGGCGGGATCGCGGATCTGAAGAGGATTGTGAGGGCGGTGAGCGACGCGGCGAGAAGGTCTCTGAAATCGAAGGGCCTCTCTCTGCCTCCGTGGAGGAAAAATCGCTACATGCTAAACAATTGGCTTGGGCCTTACCGTCGTACCATCAATCCGGTGCCGGCCAGCTCATTCCCGTCGGTGATCGGGGGCGGGCAATGTAGGGTAGTCGGTTTCGACGACGAGGTAGGCGGCCGCCTCGTCGTCCGTACATGATCGTAAACCTTCCCAGGGGGGGAATTTTTGTGTAACGTTTTTTTTTTTTTTTTTTCCCTTCCTTCGGTTTTGTTTCGTGTCTTCTAGTTGGGTAGGGAAGGTGCCAAATGTAAATTATGATCGAGGAGGCATGAGAGAAAAGACTAGTATCTCATAAAAAAACAAAAGACTAATATTAACTAGTTTGGTACTGGCCGGGTAAATTTTGTTTGAAATATGTACTTTGGTAATTTTTTCCTCCTAAGGTGTCTATTTTGTTCAGTCTGTCATTGTCCTCTCTCATTTCAAATCGTGTATACCTTTGAGTCCGACCAGTTGGCCGCTAAATGATTTTTTTTAAGGTAAATTAGTTTGTACTGCACGACAATATTTTAGCACCCATGAAATTGTTGTGCATTATTATTATGATATTACAAAATTAAACATTGATATTATTTAGTAACTCAGTAGAATAAGAAATTTGTTCTGCGATCTATGTTAGTATATACTTTATGGCGGTACAATTGAATGATATTGATATAGTTTCGCAACTATCGAATAGGAACATGCCTTGTATATATATGATTGTGGCTATGTTTAAAAAAAACATATATCAAAATGGATATCCTTGTGTAGATCACATAAAATCTGATTTTTTCGCGCAATAATATTTAAATTTGGAGTTGAAGCGAAATAAATATGAATCAATTAAGAGTAGTAGGGGAGATTTAAAAATAAGAGAGAGAGAGAGAGAGAGTTAAGTGGCACATTCTGATTGGGGTATAGAAAAACTTAAAATAAAAAAAAAGAGTTAAGAAAAAATCTGATTGGTCGGAAGGGTGCTGACGTGGATGCGTAGGAGGGCTGGAATTTTGAAATGGTGAAGGTAGTTTTAGGAAAAGCCTTTATATATTTTATAGATAATAATTTATCATTATGAGCGAATTCTCGTCATTTAATTTCCACACGCTGTGTTCCGATGGGTGCAAATTACATCTTTATGGTAAAATTAGGGTAATATTTATTTATGTTTGTGCCCAAATACATCGCCTTACAGGTCAAACCTTAGGCTCCTCACCTTGGAGTCTGATCTTCTGAGCGTCTGATTCCTGCTTAACGCTCTGTAGGCGCCTCACCTTGAAGCCCGCTCCTTGGTGCGCCTTGGTCCTGCTAGCCAATCCTTAGGCGCCTGACCTACACACATGACCTACACACACGCACTGAGGGGGGCGCCTGGGCCAATTAATCCTCCGACGCTCAAGTTAGTTCCAATTATAGAGAGAAGTATGAAACTATAAGTTTTAGTGAGAGAGAGTCCAACATGTGTAAATGCTACCAATTGTTCCTATTTATACTCACCCAAATCGAGGTTGATCTCTTCCACGTCATCGTCGCATTTAATGCCTTGTACCTTCATTCTTGTCAGATGCCTCAACCACTTTGTGAGGCTTCTGATGACTGGCGGGGGCCTGCAGGTGGGGGACTGTTTGACAGCCTGGACTTCTTTGGAGCCTTTAGTGTTTTGTCTTCATGCATCTTTCATCTGCATGGAAAGAGCTTTGTGGGCCTATTTATGGGCTTCTCCCACTGGGTAGCCCATCCCTGTCTCAATAGGCTTTGTTGGGCCCTGTTTGTAATACCCCCAACAAGGCCAATACTATGGTGCCGCTATAAAAATTGCGGCACTGGTAACGCAACTTTTCATTGGTCCACGTGGCCATGATGTGGCATCGATTTTGTTTGCTAAAACCAACCGAACCCCCAGTGGCCCATGAGAAATGGCCCAAACCGTCTGTCTCAAAGTAACGAAGAAAGGTTCCCCGTCAAACAATCTGTCTTTGTTTTTATTTTAATTAATTTATTAAAAATTCAAATTCAAGGAACATTTATTCCACAAAATAGAAACGAGTTGACCATTGAATAACACTTCCTCGATCTCCCTTGCCGGCGGCTTCTACCAAATCACTCCCAGTGACTTGTCCATCGATCCCATCGCCTCGCCCACACTGTTTCCTCCTAAATTGGTTCTGTAGAACAGAGGCAAAGAAACCCCTCGTCTTCCACCTTGATGATATAGCGCCACCGCCAAAGTACCAGACTATCCTAGGTCAAAGACGAAGAGAGCCCCCCCTCCTCCGCGTTGCTTTGCACCGTCCCCGTATAAATCGTCGAAACCAAGTTGTAGGAGGTGTTGAGTTCCCCACCAATGAAAAGGTTTGGCTTCAGGTAATTCGATTAATGTGTCTTTGAAGAGGTAGGTAGGTGAATCTATCTGCCGCCCTTTTTGTACCTTTACTCTTTACCCTGCTTCCAAAACACTTGCTTCAAGCGTTTGCAAACTATATATCCATGCAAATATCAACTCGATTTTGTCATCAAACTTTAATGTGTTTGTGACTATGAATTGTGATGTTTGTGAAATGCTTCTGATTGACAACAAATCTAATCTGGTATACTTGTTTGTGTTCCTTTGGTCTGCAATATAACCGGATTTAGTCCCGGGGGACGAGCTATGAGCCAAACAGAAACTGTATTAGATCCTATTTTGAAAGGGAAATTAAGCAGTCAATTACTACTTGGTCATTCATGTTTATCTGCATGTTTTGTTTATATGATAATTGTAATAATTGATGATGAAGCGAAATAATGCATCATATATAGGAAAGGAGTTTTTAACCTGTGTTTTCTTTTCTTTTCTTTTGTTATGTTAGTCATGTTTATATTGTGTCCCGTCATAGAAGATTTCTTATATATGTCAATCAAGTCGAAAGAAAGCCTCAAGTGGCCAGAGACGCACTAGAGTAGAGTGGAGTGGAGAGGTTTCACCGACTGTTGCAGTCCTCATCGTGGTATAAGGTCCACGGGAACTATATATATATATATATTTTGTAAAGGTTTTGGAGCCAATTGCATGCGTAGAGAGAACGCGAACCACACTCTATTGCCAATGGTGTAATTGCCTTTTGTAATAGGATGGAGATATCATAGTCATAGCCATAGGGGTTATTGATCCATCGCCTGCTACTGTAAATGGTGTTGTGTTCCATTGCAGTTGTGCATGAATGTGTAATATTTTTGTAGTATATACAGACCTTATGCTAACTTGGTCAGGCTTGCAGTAGCTATGTATGTTGTAGGTGATCGTCCCCATAACACAAACAAATAAGATATCTTTGAGATTTCAGTTCATTTTACCCGCATTGTAGCATTTTGCAGCAGAGGTTGTTGGATAACATGTTCCTACCTTTTGGACTATGCAATTTCTTTGACATATATGTATGTAAATTAGGAGAAACTTACTATTTTTTGTAACTCCATCAAGATAGTCGCCGAGTCTCATTTCTTTTGGTAATAAAGATTATACCTTTTTGGTCCCAAAGTTTGATGGAAACATACAAGATTTTTCTAGTGTTTGCTTCTATGTTCTACCTCCACAGTAAAGGTGCACAAGCATTCAGATACAATTAAACCACCATCCAAGACTCACTATCTCACGTCAGCACCAGTTTACTTCATTCCATGGTTATTTGCTATTCACCCTTTCAGCTGCATTTCACCAATGCACCTGTAAATCACTATCATATACTCAAATATGCTTATTCAATTCATGAATTTGATCTTTCAAGGCAAAAAAAGTATCAACAAGTCAACTCCCCACAAAAGTTTCCTAACATCTGGTACAACATTTTGACAAAAAATTGTTCATCACTTGAGGTATGTAGATCATCTACTTGTGTGAGGATAACTAGTGAAACCAGATTGGTATCTCTCTTCTGCAACCTAACGCAGCCAAGGAAAAAGTAGAGAATGAAGTAATCAAATCTCAATCCGTTCACTATTACAATTTACAACATATAATAACAAAACGATAATAAACACAGCTGATCAAGGCATAGAGAAAGAGGCAATCAAAGCCAGAACTTTGCTTGAGGAGAAGATAAAAATAAGCTCCAGAAGCAGCAACAAATGTTCAACATGATTTTGCACCTGAAACTGAAATTAGAGAAAATGGATCATGATCTGATCTAGACTAAGTTGCTTAACCAAATCATTGGCAACCAAGTTTTTTCTGAAGCTGTAAATAACATAGTGATGAGTTCAAGATGAAACTTTTATCAATGCTTCCTTTCTTGACCTCTCATGTTCCCAGTTAACAAATGGTCCCAACTCAAACATTACAATAATCTATGAAGGATTTCAGTGGAAGCATTTGGTAGAGCCTAAAGATTGGATTGACGATGGAGAAGTCATCGGAAGTGATTTTGAAGCCTCCACCGGAAAGGGAGACCGAGGAGAAGACGATTTCCTTTTTGGGTTTATTTTCTTCTCCCTTGTTCCTGCCGAATAAAAAATATTAACAGTTATATCAATTGTAAATTAATCAATAAAAAAATAAATAGTAAAATGCAAAAGACAGATACCATATTCCGTTTGTTTGGGTACATGCGGTTTGGGCCAGGTCTAATGGATCGGGCTTGGAAGTGAGGTTGAACCAATCCACTTTGCGCCACATCACTGTCCGCGTGGACCAATTAAAAATCGCGTCACCGGTACCGCATTTTTTACAGCGGCACCTTAGTATTGGCCCCCCAACAATTGCCCCCCAGTTAGGCTCTCAAGTTCCCAAAGCTTGAGGGCCTGACTATACTGTCTCGTCTCACCACTGGAATAAGGCGCCCACTGTGTCTCGTGGCAGGTGCCTGGTTCTGTCAAGGTGGGGCGCTTTCTCCTGAGCAACTTTTCCGTACTTAGGCGCTTCACGCATCTTCGCTTAGTGGGATGCCTCGTCCTTACGCAGTAAATGCCCCCCTTTCTTTGTTACAGGCGCCTCGGTCTTATTGAATCATGCGCCTGTTAATTATTGATTTTCCTCCTTCTGGACCTAGGCGCCTGGATTGCGTGCTCCCCTTGCTACCCAAATTCGACCTACCCACCTTTCTGGACCCAAATGTGGGGTTTGCTTTTCACTGCTCTAATGAGTTACATTGAGCTTTTACTTGGACTTGTTCCTTTGTAATACTCCCCAACAATTTCCCCCCAGTTAGGCGCTCAACACTTGGTATCTTGAGTGCCTAACTACCTCCACAGTGGTACGCCTGTCTCTTTTTTCTCTGATCGACTTTTCACACAAGTCTCCTCGATATGGGGCCCGCTCAATACCACCCTCAAATTTATTGACTCATTTTGGATATGCCTCTTTTTGGAACATGCGCCTATTAATTTCCCCCCACACGTTTATTGACTTATTCATAACGGGCACCCTACCTCTGCCAAATACACCCCCTACATTCAATGACCCTTTATGGCAGGAGCCCGACCGTTGCGAGATACGTTGCATGGTGACAGGCGCCCAACGCGCCCCGATATTCAGTGACCACTTTATGCCAGGCGCCCCAAATTTTATTAACAACTTTACGATAGGCACCCGAAATTAAATATTCACTTCATCAAAATTGTGCTTTCTCTACACCCCTAACAATTGCCCCCCAGTTAGGTGCACAATATATCCAATTGAGCGCTGCATACGTTGATCGTTCATGACAGGTGCCTCTCTTTGCAAGGCACATGCCCCACATCCTTATTTTCGGAACAGGCGCCTGCATTTGCAAAGCACACGCCCCACATCCTTACTTTCGAAACAGACGCCTGCAAAATGCCCCTTCTTGTTTATCGTCACATTCGTGACAGGCGCCTGACCGTTGCATACGTTGCTCGTTTATGACAGGCGCCTCCCTTTGCAAGGCACACGCCCCACATCCTTACTTCCAAAACAGGCGCCTGCAAAATGCCCCCTCTCGTTATCGTCACATTCATGACAGGTGCCTGACCGTTGCGTACGTTGCTCGCTCATGACAGGTGCCTCCTTTTGCAAGACACACGACCCAACGTCCTTACTTTCGAAACAGACGCCTATAAAATGCCTCCCTTCAATTGTGTAAACTTGAGGCTTGGAGTGCCACGTAACATTCTATCTCGACAGCATTTGATATTCCGGGGGCTTTGAGTATTTCGGGCGCTTTAGGTATTGCGGGATGCTTTGTGTATTACGGGCGCTTTACATCTCCCTTAGAGATCTTTCAAATATTAGGACGCTAGATTTGGGCGTGGAGAGTATTTCCAATCAAGGGCGCTATATTTCGGGCGCTTTAAGTATTTCGAACAAAAGATTTTATTTGGGCGCACCAAATATTTCAAAACAAAGCGATATATCGTGGAGGTAACACCAAATTTCACGAAAAAACAAAGTACTTAGCTTGGTTTGAGTGTGTTGAAGCTCATGCCAACCGTGGCGAAGCCCATGCTAACGCTTGCGAGGCTCCTAAGTGAAATAATGACGCATGCGAATGGATGACAACAACTTGTAACTTAGCCTGATGGCGTAGGCGCCCTTCTTCTTTAGAAGGTATGAGGTGCAAAGCTTCGCGCAGGCATTTTATTAGCCTTCTGTTTTAAACTGAGCATCTGGGCTTTAATAAGTCGTGTCAACCTCTCTTGGGTTTCGAACTGAGCACCTGGGCTTAACGAGCCTCTTTGTTTTGGGCTTTAGACTTGCCCCAAAATTTCAAGATAAAAATAGGAGAAGACATTTGGCTCATAGATGAAATGGGCACCTCAATGAAATTAGGCGCTTAAAGCCTCTTTTAAACCAGATAGGGAGGCGTCGAGCCCAAATAGGAGATGGGTGCCCAAACGTTAGCCTAACTTGAAATGCTCTTTTAATTACAGGTGCCTCCGGTGAAATGAGAATTTCATAGTAGTCCACTAGTATAGGCGTCTGATTCAATGTTGAAGCCCATGTTGGGTTAGAGACTTAGAGTCGCCTGTCATGATGCGACGAATATAGTGCTTCTTGTGTCGAGCAGATGGACTCGGTGCCTCTTTTTCCTTCTTTCTAAATATCCCTCTATTGCGCCTCTACCTTTGCGACGCCAATCAGTCATGGCACAAAGCCTTCTCTTTCTTAATTTTGAAAGCGCATCTTTTTCTTTCTTTATTTTGTGTCATGCGCTTCCTCTTCCTCTTCCATTTGAATTTTCTCAAGCGTCACCACCACTCTTCCTCCTTGGTTCTTCTCGCCCAACTATACAATAAACTTTATTCGATGGCAATCGAACGTCTCATCGCTTCTTTTTTTATTTTCTCATCTCCAATCGGTGCCTCATATTTTCATCTTCTTCTTGCCCCTGCCTACTACGCCTCCAACTTGGCGATGCCGCCTAGTGGCGTAATGCCTCCCTCTTTCCAATTTTCCTTAAAGCGCCCTTCAAATTTAGCTTTGTTTTGAGTGTGGTGAAGCCCAAGTTGATGCTTCCTACAGGGTCAAGGCTAGGCGCCTGCTAAGAATTTTCAAGTCCAAGATTGAACTGAGGTGATGTAGGTGCTTGACTTGTGGTATTGAGGCGCCATGTATAAGCTTCCTTGGCAAATTGTGGTTGTTGTTGTTGTTGTAGAAGGCGCATAGGTGGGCTTATCCCACGAAGTTTATGCTTTTGGTTTCA